AATACCTAGAGAGAAGGCAAGGTTTTAGAGAGAGAGGCTCTCAAATGGCTTTTTCGGAAAAGTAAGAGAGAGAAAGGATGAGAAAAAGTGATTTAAAATTGCCTCACAGCCAACTGATATACGAAATTCCTGCTCGAGCGGAAAACACAACGCTCGAGCGTCATGCACAAAAATCTGGACACGCTCGAGCACAAGAAGGCCCGCTCGAGTGCCAAGACACAGGAATAAAATACACCCGCTTGAGCGAGAAAACCAGTCCGCCTGAGCACAGATTCCCCCTTCCCAGAACTTACACCAAAACAAAGCTACTCGCTTGAGCGCCAACAATCTCGCTCGAGTGCTACCCGCTCGAGCGCAAGAAACCCGCTCGAGCGTAGAAAACACATCTGCAGAAATTTTGCAGGGACACGAAATACTAGGAGTGTGCAATCTCTGCTCTAGCGTCAGAACACCCGCTCGAGCGATAAACTAGAAACCAAACTTTGCTTGAGCGCAGAATGACCCGCTCGAGCGTAACACCAAAAACCTGGGCAACAAGGATTTAGACCAAGGCATAACCCACCTGTTCAACACAAGCCCAACACATCCTAAAACTCAAACAAAATGGAATTTAAAGGATGGCAACAAGATAGATACAACTACTAACTCCACGGAACCAAGTCCGGAATACAACAGAACAGTAAAAGGACAACCGGGATCGCTATAACAGCTCTCAGGTCCAGAACTGGACGCAGACGCAAGCCCGAGTGAAGGACTTCTCGCTCGAGACACCAGACACTAAACTCAACTCTCGCTTGAGCGAAGTAACCCTGGCTCAAGTGAAGGATCTAAAACAAAGAGCTTGCTTGAGCGACAAAGTCCTCGCTCGAGCGAAGACACCAAAATCTGGGCAGCAACCATTTGCTCCCAAGCACACCAAACCTGTAACAAACCTGCCCAACACATCCTATAACTCAAAAATAAGGAATTAAAGGATGGCAACAATATATATACAACAACAAGCTCCACGGAACCTAAGTCCGAATACAACAACCAAATGGGGAAAGACCGGGATCGCTAAAACACCACAGTGGGTTTATCTTGCTTGATAGAGATATATGTATGATGAGGTGCTATGTGATAACATGCTTATGTGATTATATGGGTATGGGGTTTGATTTCTGAGATGTTGATTGGGTCTGTGAGTTCCTGGAAGTCCAGTCAGAAGAGCACTTGATCACTGCTATTTCCAATTGGAACTCTAGCAATGTCATGGGACAATCATTATCTAGAAAGAAAATCTTTATGTGCTCTATGTGAGTATGTGCTTATATGGTTTGCCATATGTGATGTAGATACAAGTATAGGTTTATGTTTAAGCCGTATGCAGCGTGTTAGAACTAGTGTGGAGTACTTACTTTTGAGCTAAATTCTGTCTCATATATAAGATGTCATAAAGCGGGAGAGGCCATAATAGAGGCACTTGGGGTGCCCGGGATGTTCTCATGTAGGAGGATACCTTTTCCCCAGGAAGAAGGTGCAAGTTAGAGTAATATGGCCGGGATGATTGGTCAAGATGTTGTGGAATTAGTATTGAAGTGTAGGTTTACCGATTTGTATGATTGTGGGTGTAAATGTGACCTTAAAATAGTAGAGTTTGTGTTGTGTAGCGACTGGTTTGTTGTTATGAGGAGTTAATTATTTTTCAATTTTATATCAAGTTTGTGGAAGTGGACTAGATGAAAAATCTTAGAAGAAGAATGAGTTAGAGATTAACCTTATCGTAATAGTATGGTTTGGTTGTGACTTTAATGATGATTAAAGTAATCTAAGATAATATGCTTTGGATTGTTGACATTAGAACATGTAAAACTAGTTCTAAATTTTCTTGGGATAGACAAAGTTAGTTATAGTTAGATTGTTTCACTTGCTTGATGGACTACTTGTGAGGTTAGTGATGGGCCCTAGGCCAATTATTTTGTATGCGTTTGGGAATAAATGTGGTCTTAGCATGATAGAAATTATAGCGTGCAGTAAGAAATGTGTTTCTTAGAGAGTTTGTTTTATTCATAATTTTGCTGCAAATCCTAAGAGGGCAAATGAGATGAATAATTTTGTGATAGATTGGAATGAGATTAAATTTGATTTGGGTTACACCATTTGATGAGATTATTAGTAGTAACAACATTGACTCGTGAGTTGATATTTTAGAACATGTAGGCGAGTTTCGAGTACCTTCGAGATTGGTAGAGTCCATTGTCTCAGAATTAGTTGTTGATTATACCCAAGTGCAGTAAGTGTTTAGGGATATGATGTAATTGATGTCTCGGGAGTTATGTTAGCAAACCAATGTCTTTAAAGAAAATTTTGAAATGATCATGTGAGGATGTTGTGATTCTATGGAGATTATGATCAAGTGCCTTGAGATGGTTGATGTGACTATGATTTTAGTATTTTCATGAAAATTCGTGCTTGATCCATCGCGAGTAATTAATGTTAATTTTTATAGTCACTCTGACTTATGGATTAGAAATTATGACTATGAGAAGTATACGTGAGCATTTTGAGTTAAGTTTGGCGTGTGTAGTGACGGTGATTGTCATGCAATCGAAATGGAGGTTATTTTGTATCCCTTGTCCTTTAACTATAAGATTGTTTTGTATTCTCGGTGTAAGAGTTGTGAACCCCTTATATTAATCCTTCGTTTTGCTATAAGTGTGGTGAGAATTTGTGCTATTGGTATGTTGATCTAATATTATTGTTGGGTTTAATTTGGGTGTACTTGACCTTAAGTGGTAAGTGTTTTCTTAATTAAAATGTATTTAGTTTTGCCTAATAAAGGATGATTCCTTATTTTAAATTTGTTTCATCATGTTTTGTGGTGATATTACCCTAGAAGAAGTTATTTGGTATACCCCTTGTCAGGGAATAAATTGGTATGAAGTACTTTCGTTATTTTGTTAGTCTTAGAAATTGTTATGGGATGACTATTGTTGACATAGAAAATTTCTTAGAGTGAATGAGTGCCTTTATAACTTGTGGTAGTATCTTTTAGAATTTGGGTGGAAGTGAGTTGGCTAGAGACTTTATAGAAGATTTCAAAGTAACTAAAACTAGTGTTTGTTAGTGTAACCTTTTGTCTTGAATTGTGTAGGATTTTCGTGGTGGGTTTAATATGGTAGTTGGTGTTGTTATTTGTGACATGAGCAGTAATGAGGATTCAATCAGGGTAGATTACTTTTAGAGTTAAATTGTTTATTTTTCAAGTGTGAAGCAGATTTCGTAGTGATTGGATTGAAGTACTGAAAAGATTATTTTAATTAGAATTCTGAATCAGAAGTGTAGAATTATTTCTTTTGGTAAGGGATGTACATTGAATTTCCTTTGGAGAGATTTTATTGTAATTTGAGGTTAATCAATTTATTAACGATTCGAGAATTTTAGAGTCGTTTCAGTGTCAATCTTTACGAGTGTCTCATTGTGATTGGTTTTGTATACTTCTAGGGTGAGAGATAGAATATTCCGTTAATTGGCCTCAATAGCGGTAATAATACTTGTCGATAAGTGAGTTGGTATAGTAAGAGTTGTTCAATTTGGGTTTGATCTCATGGGTTATCGTAATATTAGTGTGATGCAGAATCTTGTTGTAACTTTGGAGTTAGTGTCATGGCTTGGGTTTTAAAGAATGAGAATCGTGTTGGGAATACCTTAGTATTGTTAGAATGTGTATCTAGTCTTGATGAATTCTATGTGGACTCGAAGTGCATTGTGTGAGCGTTTGAATAAATTCTATATTGGAGTGAAATTGTGTGGGTGGAGGTAGAAAAGTTTGTGTAAACTGTTAATTGGTTCGTCGAGTGAAAGAAATAGAGTGGATAGGTAAAAGTAATACAGAAATTGCTTGGTTGGGCAATTAAAGTTGTGGCTGAGAATTTTTGAGTAGTGTGTTTGGCATGATTGCATTATGTTTCATAAGAGTTGGTGGTTAGTGCTTTTGAAGAGTAATTATTTCGTTTTGTTAAGGTCTCGGAGTAGTGATAGTTATTTGGCATTGGGATGCAATGGGCATTAGGCGATGGAGATAGTTCGTTGAAGTTGGGTTATCACCAAAATGACATTAATTATCATATGACGTATTGGACAATAAGTTCACTTATTAGGACCTACACGTAAATCCCCTTAATTTAAATTAGGTTTGGTTTGTGTAGAATTCTATATGTAATTAAGAAAATACATGTTGACACAACTCTATTAGAAAAAGTAAGTCCTTATAATGCGCTACCTAAGCATATGAAAAACACTACTTTTAATAATATATATGTGATTTGGTAAATTTATACTTTAATTTGATTGTTTTAATAGTATTAATTAATTTGATCATATGAATTATTAAACAAGAAAAAATAAATGTGGGGTGGGACATGATTTTAATTTTTTTAAATAAGTTCGACCCGTACCAGACCATTAACTGGTCAAAACCTAAAAAATCTATTAATATATATGGGATGTGGACACAATAGTTATGGGTCGGGTAAGCTTGGCCCGTCCCATTGATGACCCCTAACACCAATAGGTCCTACAAGTTCTTTCTATCATGCCACAAGTCCCATGGCAATGCCGCACACCTATCTAACAGAGCATGTAAGGCTAAGAGTCCAATCAAATAAACCACCAAAATAAAATACTCAAAATAAATCTTTAATTATCATAATGTCAAAATCTATAAATAATAAACAATCCTTATCATATGAAATTGTTCACTAAGTCCACTAATATAATCCACTAACAAAATAGTAATCCAAAGTAATTTAAAATCATATTCCTACTCTCTATATATCTCATTAATCTAACTAGATAACTAGTGGCGGAGCCAATAGTTTAATATAGGAGGGGTGGGGGGGGGGGGTAATCTCAAAATTTTTCTTCCCCAATCAATAACAATAACATAATAATAATTTTTCGAGCTAATATTAAACATCAAAAATTAATATTCATTACAAAAAGTTTTTAATTTTAAACTTTTACAATTGACCCCGGCGAGTTTTCATCTTTTGAAATCTTTCCATGATAGTATCATTGTCAATACCATCAAAAATCTCTCTCTCAATGTAGACAACCAAGCTATCATTTATCCATTCATCACCCATTCGGTTCCGCAATCGATTCTTCACAATATTCATAGTTGAATATACCCTCTCAACAGTAGCAGTTGCAACAGGCAAGATTAATGCTAAAGTCAAGAGCAAATACACCAATGGATATATTTTGTCTCTTTCAGTCTCCACCATTTTCTTAGCAAGATCGGCAATTCCATTCAACCTTGATAACTCAATACTGGATAGCATGTCGATAATATATGTATCAAGTTTATCACTAAGTACTATGAGCTCTACTGAAGAAAATTCTTTGGGATAAAATTCAACAAGATGAATTAACTTTTTCTTGTCAAAACTAGAGAAAGAGTTAGATGGATTCAAACATGCCACACAAAGTAACAACTCAGTGTTCGCCTCAGTGAAATGAGCATTTAGTTCTTGAATTTGCATATCAAAAACAGTGTAGAATTACTCAGCGTGATAGTGATGTAAGTTTATAATTTCTTGAGCATTGCGCCTTTTTCTCCCTCGAGCTACAAACATATCATCCATTTGGGGAACATCAATTTCATGCTTTTCACAAAAAGACAAAATATCATCAAGTAAAGATGTCCACCCACTCTCCCTCATCTTTTAGAACCGTACTTTAGAAATTTAAACTAAATTCATGGCATTAACAATATCTTGATCTTTCTTTTATAGTGCTTGCGATAACTCACTTGTAATAGCCAATATCGTTTTCATCAAATGAAGGTTGAATACAAACTCAAATGATTGAATTGAGTCCAACAATACATTTGCTTCTGCTCGTTGTTCTGAATTTGAACCATTCTTCGAAATCATTTCAAGCACATCAATCACTGTTGAAAACATACCAGCCAAGCTGACTAAAGTACCATAGTGTGAACACAAGGTGTATCACCAGCACATTTAAGATTAGTTTCTTGATTTAAGCCTTGCCCACTAGATAGCTCTCCAGTATTAAGTGGCTCAGCAACTTTTGCAGCTTGCTTCTCCCTAACAATATCTCGGCATTTACATGATGCTCCAACAACATTTACCACATTAGAAACCAAAGTGAAAACTAAAGCAATTTGATCATGATTCTTTGCCACGGCTACAAGTGCCAATTGCAATTGATGAGAAAAACAATGAACATAATATGCACAAGGATTCTCTTTCAGTATAAGTGTTTTAAGACCATTGAACTCACCTTGCATATTACTAGCCCCATTATATCCTTGACCCCGCAATCTGGAAATACTCAATCCAAGTCTGGAGAATAAATTTTCCACAGCTTGTTTGAGCGAGAGAGCATTCGTATTAGCAACATGCCCAATACCCATAAAACGCTCAATCGCTTGGCCTTTTTTGTCAACATATCGTATTACAACTGCCATTTGTTCCTTGATTGATATGTCACGGGCTTCATCAATCAAAATAGAAAAAAATGCATCACCAAGATCTCTAATAATCACATTGATAGTTTTAATTGTGGCCACATTTACAATATCTTTTTGAATATCAAGAGATGTCAACTTGAGATTTTGTGGAGGATTGCTTAATGCAACCACTTTGACATCTTCATTATGATTGACAAGAAAATTGAGAAGTTCAAGAAAATTTCCTTGGTTACTTGAATTTTCAATTCATCATGCCCACAAAATGCAAGTCCTTGTCTTCGAAGAAATTTGACACAATCAACCGATGCATTCAAACAGGTTCGATACTCAATTCAAGCTTGATCAGATTGTTTGAAAAAAATCATTTGAATATGTTGATTTTGGTTAACAAGTCTTGACATTTACTCAAAGCTTGATTATGAGCACTATTGGGACCTCCAACATGAGTTTGAATTTTTTTCTTTATTCTTCCAATTTGAGAAACCCTCACCAACAAAAGAATCACTACCAGCTTGATCTCCAATATCGGGTTTGAAAAGATAAAAATAAAAACAATTTGTTACACTACACTCCAACCAATTAGGAAATTCACTAAACCAAGCCTAATTAAATCGCCGAAATTTTTGTTCAAATGATTTTTGTGAAAAATTATGATCACGAGGCTGACAAGGACCTTTTTGTAGATATTCCCTACGAATTCGGTCTCTATCATTAGCATTATAGTCCATAATCCGAGATGTAGTCCTGGATCTGCAAGAAGGTCTTCTAAGTTGAATTCTATGCGACTTTGTTTTGCGGAAGAATAATTATAATCTTCTTCTTGAGGAAGAGATGATTCAAACTTTGATTTTCTTTTGAAATATTTCTCCATGACTATTTTAAAAAATAAAAATCAAAATAAAAATTCATAATCAAAATCACAAACCCCCACAAATCAAATCTCCAATTTTAATACAAATCAAAAAATTTAAATTTAGCACAAATCACAACAAATAAAATTTATAATATACCTATATTAAATGAAAGTCCCTAATTTAAGTAACAAATACTACAAATTAATATTTTTAATTATAGCACAAATCAAATCCCTAATTTTAGCACAAACAACAACAAACCAAAATCCCTAATTTTAATATAAATCACCACCAATTGAGATTCATAATTTTAGCATATCAAAATCTCTTATTTTAACATAAATAATAACAAATAAAAAAATTTTACAAATCAAAACTTAACAAATAACTATAAATTAATACTCATAATTTATATTTAAAAATAAAAAATCATAAATAAAGTTACCTGTAAACAATGAAGAGAAGATACCAAGGTTGTAGTGTGATCCCAAATCTGTGTTGTGTGATCCTAATCTAGTGAATCGCGAGTTGATAAATTGCAAAGTAACAAAGAGAGATAAAGAAAACAAAAAAATATATATATATATATATAGAGAGAGAGAGAGAGAGAGAGAGACACTTAACAAATACTGTAAATAAATTTAAAAAATAAAAAATTCCATACACCTTTAGGGTTTTAGGATTTCAGCCTTGCTACCGGTTTCTCATGAATCAAAAAAAGAAGAAGAAGAAGAAGAAGAAGAAGTAATGGGATTGGAGTTGTGCCAGTGTGTTTGGGTGCGTGTATGCCTGTGTCAGTGTTTTTGGGTCAAATTGGGCTATTGTGCATATAGGCACTGTGTGTAAGCCACAAACAACCCTCAAAATAAAAAAAAAAATTAAAATTTTTTTTTTGAAAAGTCAGGGGAGCACGTGACCCCCTGGCCCCCATGTCCCTCCGACCCTGGTTATAACATCAAATAAAAATGGAGCTAGTAACACAATATCACTTAAACATTATAGTTCATGCACTGCTAGTTGCAAAATTGAACCAAGAGCTCTTTATTGAGATTCAATTAATTCTTTACAATTTTTGTTCTTTTTTTTTTCTTTTCTTTTTCATATATGAATAAATAATTTCTAAGAATTATGATGACATAAACAATCTAATATATCCACATGTCAACAAGCAACAATCTGAGGCTTTGGGTTTGGCCTAATGGACTTGTAGCTACATTTTAGGGTGTCGTGAGTAGAAGGTCAGGAGTTCGAGCTGATAGAACAGATGCGACCCTTTAGTTATAATCTTATTTTACTAAGAACTAACATCCTACAATCTTGGCCAAAAAGAATAGAAAAAAAAAGGGAACAATCTATTCAAATTTTAGACATTTTAATTTTTAAATAAAATTAAAAAAACAATTGAAATAGAACTTGAAATGATACAAAATTTGAAAACATCTAAGAGAAAATCAAGACAAAGTTCAATTTTAGAATGGTCGATTGGGTTGAAGAGAAATTTGGTAAAATAAAATAATTACTTTGGGCCCTCCATTATTAATTAGAATAATTTTATTTTGGGTTTGGTATTAACACTCCATTTGGATTAAGGGGCTTGGTGAGAAATGAAAAAAAAAATAGAGAAGTTGTGAGAATGGCGATAAAACCAAAGCACACCAAACTTAAGTTTTGTTTCTCATTAAAAGTGGTGAGATTTGGTGAAAAATCAAAATTATTTTTTTAAACATAGTATCTAAATAAGAAGGTGAGAAACCATAATATATATATATATATATATATTTTCTTATCTCTCAAACCAAATGGAGATTAAGCGTTGAACTTATTTTGATAAGTAAAGTAATTGGGTTGTACTGCTAATATTTTTAGTTTGGTGGTGGGGTCATCTCTATAATTGAGGTCTAAAAAAAAATAGATTATGTTAAATTTTAATCCTATATGGACCCTATTTTTTAATCCTAAACTAGCGGGTCAAAGCGGCAGTTTCCCAGAGCCGGCCATGAAAGATACTTGGCATAAAACCAATCCACCAAAACACAGTCATGCATGTTCTTTGCCCAATGGGCCTTCGAAGCCTAAGCTTGAGCATGCCATGGTTAGTTCACAATTTGCATATTCATCTAATACTCTTATGTTGTTTGAGCATTCTAAACTCCGGCTTTACTACCGCCATATCCAACTCCTGGCTAATGGGGAACGAGACGGACCGACTTTCATTGTTGGCAATCAAGGCCAAAATAGTTGATGATCCACTCCATGCTTTGAGCCCCTGGAATGATTCCATCCACTTCTGCCAATGGCAGGGTGTTATGTGCGGCCGCAAGCATCAGAGGGTCATTGCCTTGGACTTACAGTCTTCGGAACTGGTCGGATCAATATCACCACACCTCGGGAATTTAAGCTTTCTAAGGGAAGTACAGCTTCAGAACAATAGCTTTGGCAATGAAATTCCCCCAGAAATTGGTCGTTTGTGAAGGCTGCAGATTTTGCAACTGAAGAAAAACTCAATTGGTGGCCAAATTCCTATAAATATATCTCATTGTGCTAACCTAATTTTTTTTATTTTTCTTACAATAAGCTGGTAGAACAAGTTCCTGTGGAGCTCGGATCCTTGTCAAAGCTCGAGACAATAATTATAAGAAACAACAATCTTACAAGGAGTATATCTCCTTTCGCGAATTTGCCATCTCTTTTAATATTGTCTTTAGCCAACAACTACTTTGACGGAAACATTCCTGATGGTTTTGGTCGATTAAAGAATCTTCAGGAGCTTATACTTGGCATAAACAGTTTGTCCGGCACCATCCCTCCTTCGCTTTTCAACCACTCTTCTCTCACACGGTTTGATGTCACTATTAACCAAATCTAGGGAAGTCTTCCCTGGGACTTGGGCATCACCCTTCCTAGTCTTGAATTCTTCAACATTGGTCATAACCATTTTACAGGATCAATTCCGGTTTCAATGTCAAATGCATCTCAACTCCATTATCTATTATTGCTTCAAAACAAACTTACTGGAAAGGTTCCTAATTTAGCAAGGCTGCAAAACCTCCAGTGGCTATGCATTTGGGACAATCAGCTTGGATCTGGGGAAGCTGATGACTTCAGCTTTATGTTCTCTTTGATCAATGCTACCAATTTACAACGTTTGGAAGTGAGTATGAACAATTTTAGCGGCAAGTTGCCAGAATACATTGGTAATCTCTCGAGAAACCTTGAATATTTGTATGTAGACCACAATCAGATATTCGGAAGCATTCCACCCGGGATTGTAAATCTTGTTGGCTTGCAGAGTTTGCTTATGCAGGTTAATCAATTCACTAGTACTATTCCAATTGAGATTGGAAAGGTTCAAAATTTACACGAATTAATTCTCTACATCAATTCACTAGACCCTGAGGTTTGGAGAAAATACGAGTCTTACAATTTTAACATAATTACATTGAGCTCCTTTATGTTACGTGAACTCTTCAAGATAAATCAAATACCCGCGTCGGACACCCAACGCTCGGACAATGGTAGACACTTCTCATATATTTGTATTTAACACCATCTTGCATGTATCATTTGTTTTATAATTGGTATAAATACTTTTTTGACGTTAAATGTTACATATAGTACCATTTTATCTCACATAAAAATGATTTTTTTTTGCTGAACCCAAAAAATATATATATAAATGACTTTTTTTTGCCGAGCCCGTATACTCTTAAATTTGATATTTGATAACTCCAACCTCTAGACCCGCACCCGCATCCGACACCCGTACCCACTTCCATGTAACATAGGCTTTTAATTTATATAGCACTTAGCCCCCTTTTCATCAATAATTCGTTAGTCAAATGAATAGAAAAATGTTGTGGTCATTTGTTTAACACTTAAATGTATATTTTTTCTTATTTATCCTTGTGTCTTCATACCATCTGCTTTAGTTCAAATCCATTGAACCTTACTAAAAGGGAGGTAAGTATAATTATGTTAAAACTATGGGACTTGTGTTTTCTCTAAATCTCAAGAGAGAATAGTATACTTTACCCTACTTGAAATGTATTGTTCCATCTTAAAAACAAAAATAAAAAAAGCATTGTAGCATTGTATTGTATACTTGCATCATGCTAGTAACTGGCTCATAGCAAGAATTGTTTTTGAGTTTCTTATATTGACATAAAAAAATAAATTCTCTTTACATGTTGGAACATGTGAAAAACATTATTTTTACTTGGAATTAAAGGCAAAAACCAAAGGAGTTTCAGTCTCTTAAAAATGAGAGTATTATAGATCTCCCATAGTATAGAAAAGGAGAAGAGGCAAGTAGTAGTACTATATTTTATTAGAACTAATGACCTCAGACTTTGGGAGATTTATTTAGGAGGAGAAAAAAATAATAAAAAATAAAATAAAGGAATTTTTTGTGGTTGTTGAAATTGAAAGGTCATTGAATCATGACTCATAATATTCATGCAACATTTGGATAGACTCAATTCTTGAATATGAAAGACTACCAAATCACATGAATTGTACCCAAATTGTTAGTCGTAAGATTCACACACAATTCTGAAAGATTCGTTACAAATATAAAATTCAGCCAAAAGATTCAAACCAACTGAATCGAAAGATACATATCATGAATTGTAAGATTCTAACGACTAGGAGTGCAGGTTTAGTATGGAAGTTGTAAAGTACCTTTAAAGCAAAAAATTGACCAATCCATTTGTGTTGCACTAATCGCACAATTCCACCATTTCCCTTTCCAATGACTTTAATTGCATCAAAGTTAGCCAAGCTTATCTGGTTATCTGATGGCTGTATAAGCGGTGGTTGAACAGACATTCACATACAAATAAAACAATTAGAAAATTTCCAAGGCTAGAATGTGCTCATAGATATGCAATTATATCCCTATTTGCAAAATCACACTATCAAAAAGGTATAGGTTCAATGCCAATACGAACAGTTAGTTTAAATTTCAGTATTTACATCTATCAAACAATTTATTATTTTTTTTTATTTTGATAAATAAACATACTTAATTAAAACATCTACCAGATAATTTAGCCAAGTTCCAAATGAGAAAATGCCTACCAAAGCAATCACTTTCTGGGACAATTTACTTTAGAGGGAGAAATAAATAGCCAATTTTCTACAAAAAAATATTGAGGAAATTGCAAATCAATGGAAAGACCCAAAAAAAATTACAAAATCATGGAAAAGTTTATCACTTCAATTATTAAAGTTGATAAGTTTACCATTCATTTGCAATTTATTTTTGATCTTTCAACTGAATTGCAATTTCCCCAAATATATTTATAAACGGAATTATTGATGCACTTGTCAATATCACCAAATTTGAAACAAAAATGAAATGACAAGAAAAATTACATTTGTGAATTAGTGTGTCTAATGAAGAAAAACAAAGAGGGTTGAATTGAAGAGAGGGTGTACCAACCAGAGCTCTTCGGCTACAACAGCAGAATCGACTAACATACGCCTAGTGCAGTAGCTCCGATAAACCTTCTGCACCCACATGGCGGTGGCACTCGACTCAGTATTATTCGGCACTTCACCGACGCCACTCACATCACCATTGTTTGTCATTCCGGCCGCCGCCACCGGAGAGTTGAAACCTCTGCTTAGGACGATTGTCGGAGATAGTTGTTGGGAAGCAGCGTGGGAGCAAATCTTGATGGAGTTGTAAGAGAATGGTGGTTTGGAATTGAGATCCAAGTTCGAAAGGCTTTGAGTATTGATGATCTCCATTACTCAAACAAACCCTACAAATTTTGTGTGACAGAGAGAGACAGAGGGACAGCAAGAGAGAAAGAACCGCGTGTGAAGAAGTAATAGATTTGGGCAAAAATTTAGGCACCAATTTGAAATATTTCCCAAAAATTTTTTGAACACATTCGCGACTAAATTTTAGTCGCTGAAGATAGGTTACCAAAGATAAAAAATAAAATAAAATAAAATTATTTGGCGACTAAAATAATTTTTTGTCACTGAAAGTAAGTTTTTGGCGACTAAAACTTTAGTCGCCAAAGAGGAAAAATAATTTCTTTATTTTTCATTCGGCGACTAAATATTTTAGTAGCCAAAAGTCAATAAACGATGACTATTTTTTTTTTTTGTAGCTGAAAGTAATATTTTGGCGACTAAAACTTTAGTCGCCAAAGAGAAAAAATTATTTTTTTATTTCCCATTCAGCGACTAAATATTTTAGTAGCCAAAAGTCAATATACAGCAACTAATTTTTTTTGTCGCCAATTCTGGCATTTTTAGCGACTAAATTTTTTTTAGTCGCCAATAATGAATATACCCCGACTAAAAAAAATTAGTAGCTAAATATTTTACTTTTGGCGACTAAAAAAAATATTAGTCGCCAATTCCATAACTTTTGGCGACTAATTTTTTTTAGTCGCCAATTTTGGTCGCCAAATGTGCATTTTGTTGTAGTGTTAATTTGAACAAAATTTGACTTTGATCATTGTCATTGCATTTTCTTAATATTTTAAATGGAAAAAAAATCCGTGCATAATATAATTAAAAATATTTACTATATTTATAGGGTTCATTGGGGAAGTTATAGTTTTCCATGTCCAAAATTCTAACAAGACAATTCTGTGACAAAATTCAAAATATAAAATATAAATTATTCAAATTAAAAGCACGAAGATTAAAGTCATACTTGGTTTAAACTTCAGATATTAATAGTTTGGATAAATTATACTTTGCATATCTGTACTTTATACCAAATCTCATTTTAGTCACTACACATAAAATCATGACAATCAACTCCCTGCACTTCTGGTCAAATCCCACTTTAATCGTGATAGTCAACCCCTGTACTTTTATTCAAATCCCGCTTTGTCCCTACACAAGTGTCAATGTCCCTCTTTTATAACTTCAATTTTAAATCTTTAACAAAATCCAATCATGTGACAAAAATGTAACTACAAAATGAGGGTGAGAAAGGAAAATCATGGTAGCGTTTGGTAGAGTTTTCTAAATATGATTTAAGAATAGGAGTTGTATTTTGAGTTTGTGAGTTTTGGAATTATGATTTGAGTGTGAAAAATTTGTTTGGTGAATGAGTTTTTAATTCATTGAGGAATTTTTGATGTGACATATAATATTTGATACAAAAACTTACAACTCATAACTAAACACAATTCAAAATTCTATTCAAAACTCATAAAAAAATTTAAAAAATTATGAAATTTTTTTTTATTTAAAATATAAAAAATAACAGGTAGCAATTGTTAAAAAAAAATGCACTGTTTCGGTCAATCGGCAGGACGTTCGGGAGGATGACCGGTTAGCCTAGATTTTCCCGCCTTGGATAGAGTTTCAAAAGTGAGTGTGGAATTAATTTTTGAAAACTGTGAACAAACATCACGTGCAAACCAAAGGGTGGAACTAAAGTTCCAAAGCTCTACCAAACAGAGTCCGTGTTTCCCACCAATACACTTTGTCCTACGTGATAAGACATGAGAGTTATGATATATATATTATGGTGAAAATTGGGACGAAAATGCAAGAAAGTAGAGCTATTGAAATTTTTTTAAAAAAATGCAACAATATAGCGATCCCGGTTATCCCTTCACTATTCTGTTGTTTTCCGGACACGGTTCCGTGGAGTTGGTAGTTGTACCTATCGTGTTGTCAACCTTTAAACTCTTTAGTTTGAGTTTTAGAATGTGTTGGGCTCGGTTGTTTCAGGTTGGTAGAGCCTTAGCTCCCATTGTTGTCCAGTTTTTGAACTGTCCGCTCGAGCGGGTCTTCTTGAGCTCGAGCGGGGTTTTCACAGTCTCAGTATTTCGTGCCTCCGCAAAACTTTTGCAGATATGTTTTCTACGCTCGAGCGGGTTTCTTGTGCTCAAACGGACTTGTTAGCGCTCGAGCGGGTGGTACTTTTTGGCGTAAGTTTTGGGAGGGAGAAATCTACGCTCGAGCAGACTGGTTTTCGCGCTCGAGCGGATGTACTTTATTCTTGTGTCTTGGCACTCGAGCGGGACTTCTTGCACTCGAGCGTACCTAGCTTTTTGTCCTTGACGCTTGAGCGTTGTGTTCTCCGCTCGAGCGGGAGAGTCGTATATCAGTTGACAGCTAGGCTATTTTAAATCACTTTTTACATCCACACTCTCTCTCTTACTTTTCTAAAACCCATTTTTGAGAGCTCCTCTCTCTAGAATCTCCCTTCTCTCTAGGGTTTGATCTAGCTAGGGTGTTCTCCTTACCTTTGGCCTTTGTAAAAGTTGTGTTGATCGTCGAGGGCTTTGTTTTGATCCGTGAATCTTGGAGTTTGGAGCATTTTGGTTTTCTTCATCCTCTTCTCTTGGCTCCGAATATGAGGTAGGGATAACCTACTCCATCTTATGAACTTTGTCTTTGAATCTTAGCATTTTGATATATTGGGTGTTGTTGGGTAGATTCAAGAAAGTTTGGACCTTTTGTGTAGTTTTACAAAAGTTGGGGTTTTGCTTGAAATAAACCTATATGCAAGTTTGGTGTAAAAATGAGTTGGATGATGGGTTGTGGAGGAAAAAGGAACCTTAGAGTTGTTTTGTTAATTAAGGTAAATTGCCCTAATTGTTTTAATTAATTAATGCATATAATTAATTAAAGGAAATGAGGAGTCGAATTGGAAATGTTGAAATTGGGAATGTATGAGACTAAAGGGTGTAGTTAGATCATTTATTGCTCACCTAATTGAAATGTTGTTATATTATCCATTTGTGCATTTATTTCCTGTTTAGAAATAATTGCTTTGGGCTACCGGTGGAGGGTAGTATTGATTGTTGTAGATAATGCATGATGACTAGGCAAACTAAAACTAATCAATTGGATGTGTCATAGAGTATGACGGTTGATAGAATACATTAACTTTATGTGTTGGTTGATTGTGCATATGGCCAATGTATTTATATGCATTATGTGTAGACAATTGATAGAATACATTAACTTTATGTATTGATTGATTGCGTATGTGATTCTGTGTTTATATGCATTACTTGTGTATGGGAGGAGATGGGGGATGTACTCCACGGTTTAGGGGAAGATGGGGGATGTACCTCTAAACCGGTTAATGGTTAAGGGAAGATGGGGGATGGACCTAGGGTTGCAGCTCATATGCTCTCCCATTGTAGTGATGATACAGCTCGTATGCTTATCTATTGAAGTGTTGATACAGCTCATATGCTTATCTATTGAAGTGTTGATATGGCTCATATGCTTATCTGTTGAAATGTTGATATAGCTCATATGCTTATCTGTTGAAATGTTGATATAGCTCATATGCTTATCTGTGGTAGTGTGATATGGCTTATGTGCTTATCTATTGAAATGTTTGTTTGATTTGATATAGCACCAAAATGTATATCATCATCGTTTGTGAAGTATGGATGTGGCCTATGTGTTATTGGTACAACACCAAAATGTGTATCCATCTTGAATTTCGAAGGTGTTCTAGTGATGAACCATAATCTCATCAAATGTTTTGGCCAGAGTACTGAACCTT